TTGGACCAGTTTTTGATCAGGATGTTCTTTAGAAATGTTTTTATTAAACGGCTCTACTCTAACCTTAATAGACTTTGTGGCCTGATAATCTTTTGTGACGTAAGTAATATGGAGTGAGATATTTTTACAAAGCAAACTCAATCATTGTTCATACAAATGATATTAATACTCATTCATCATACTTTCATACAGTGCTTTTTTGGACTCAAAGACAAAGCAACTGTAGAACACAAACTCACCATCGACACTTTTGAGTGGCTCGAGAAGCTCGTCGTGGTCCAGAGGGAGAATTATCCTGTTTGATATAATTAACTGAAATGTCTTATCCAAGAAACCAATGATTTATAAAGAAAAATTCTGAGACAAGATAAGAGATCCTTTATTCGTCCCACGGTGGGGAAATTTCAATGTTGCAGCGCACAGACAGGACAGTAGTAAGAACACACAGGGAGCACACAAAATATACAAAATAAGTAGCTGCTATGTTTCTTATCAAGCTGTAAATGCTTCAATAACAGTCTTTCAAATATATATGAATGTATGAAAATGTATAGGGGTGCCCAAACTTTTGAATCCCACTGTATAATGCTTTACTGTGCAGATGTTTGAGAGCGAGACAGGAGCAGACGGCTCACACACCGACCGAAAGCAGCAACTGAAGCAAGATGGAAAAACCCCCAAAACTCAGAGAAGAACCAGGACAGAGAAGTGAAAGAGCCAGAGAGCCACGCAGCGTGACGGGCGGCAGGTGCTCAAGGCCGTTGTTACAGGAAGGCCTTATTTACAGTACCTCTGTCTCTGAGGAGAATAAAATACATTTCACTGTGACTTTACTTACATTTACCACATTTTTAGTTTTTCCGGCCTGGTGCAACACAGTGCATGCAGAGGGAACATTGTCAAACTAAATGAATAGATTTTTACCTTCAGTTTATTCCAAAAAACACATCAATATAATACTTGTGTAGGCACATAGGACAAATGACAGGTGACAAACATAAAATAATAATATTTAGAAACGTTTTGTTTTTTGTCACAAGTGTTTTCGCCTCATTTGGTCTGAAAGACAAAAAAATACAACAATTATGTTAGTGCTGTGTTTACAATGAAAAATAAAGCAACAATAATAAAACAGATACACAACGCTATCCTGGGTTTTTCAAGCATTTTCTTGCATTCTTTTTTAAACAAATGTATGAAGTTATTGTCTTTAGATGACATAAATCACTCTAAATTCAAGGTTTCACTCATTTCAGTTTAGTTAAGAATGTACTTTCATTAAATAGTCACATTTTTAAAATAAAAAACTGCTGTGAATGAAAATATGACATACTGCTCCTTTAAAATGAATAATATTGGTAATGCACTTGGTTTCACATGGTTTCTCTTTCAAATAAAAATAATGCAGCTGCTCCACAGCAACAAACAAATAAATGACTCTGTTAGAACGGCAGCAAAATGCTACTGATGAAAGATTGTTCACAGAACAATAACCAAAGTTACAAACTACACTGAGGAAGAATCTGTCAGATATAGTTCACAGATCTGTTTCAGTGAGCACTTCACTTTTACAGAGACAATCCATCCCAGCTCACAGATGCACACACACATGTGCATGAACACACACATGTGCATGAACACACACATGTGCATGAACACACACATGTGCATAAACACACACATGTGCATGGACACACACGTGTGCATGAACACACACATGTGCATGGACACACACATGTGCATGAACACACACATGTGCATGGACACACACATGTGCATGGACACACACATGTGCATGAACACACACATGTGCATGGACACACACACATGTGCATGAACACACCTGTGTGTATGAACACACACATGTGCATGGACACGCACATGTGCATGGACACGCACATGTGCATGAACACGCACAAGTGCATGGACACACACATGTGCCTGAACACACACCTATGTGCTTGAACATACACGTGTGCATGAATACACACATGTGCATGGACACACACACGTGCATGGACACACACATGTGCATGGACACACACACATGTGCATGAACACACCTGTGTGTATGAACACACACATGTGCATGGACACACACATGTGCATGAACACACACATGTGCATGGACACACACATGTGCATGGACACACATATGTTTATGGACACACACATGTGCTTGAACACACACATGTGCATGGACACACATGTGCATGGACACACACATGTGCATGGACACACACATGTGCATGAACACACACATATGCATGAACATGGACACACACACATGTGCATGAACACACACATGTTCCTGAACACACACATGTGCATGAACACACACATGTGCATGGACACACACATGTGCATGGACACACACATGTGCATGGACACACACACACATGTGCTTGAACACACACAGGTGCATGGACACACATATGTGCACGAACACACACATGTGCACGGACACACACATGTGCATGGACACACACACGTGCATGAACACATACATGTGCATGGACACACACACATGTGTATGAACACACCTGTGTGTATGAACACACACATGTGCATGGACACACACATGTGCATGAACACACACATGTGCATGGACACACACATGTGCATGGACACACACATGTTTATGGACACACACATGTGCTTGAACACAAACATGTTCATGGACACACACATGTGCATGGACACACACATGTGCATGGACACACACATTTGCATGAACACACACATATGCATGAACATACACATGTGCATGGACACACACATGTGCATGGACACACACATGTGCATGAACACACACACATGTGCATGAACACACACATGTGCATGGACACACACATGTGCATGGACACACACATGTGCATGGACACACACATGTGCTTGAACACACACATGTGCATGGACACACACATGTGCATGGACACACACATGTGCATGGACACACACATGTGCTTGAACACACACATGTGCATGGACACACACACATGTGCATGGACACACACATGTGCATGAACACACACATATGCATGAACCTACACATGTGCATGGACACACACATGTGCATGAACACACAAATGTTCCTGGAACACACACATGTGCATGGACACACACACATGTGCTTGAACACACACATGTGCATGGACACACACATGTGCATGGACACACACATGTGCATGGACACACACATATGCATGAACACACACATGTGCACGGACACACACATGTGCATGGACACACACATGTGCATGAACACACACATGTGCATGGACACACACATGTGCATGAACACACACATGTGCATGGACACACACATGTGCATGAACACACACATGTGCATGAACACACACATGTGCTTGAACACAAACATGTGCATGAACACACACACACGTGCATGAACACACACACACGTGCATGAACACACACATGTGCAAGGACACACACATGTGCATGAACACACACATGTGCATGGCAACACACGTGTGCATGAACACACAAACGTGCATGAACAGATACATGTGCAAGAACACACAAATGTGCATGAACACACACATGTTCCTGAACACACACATGTGCATGCACACACACACATGTGCATGCAAACACACACATGTGCATGAACACACACATGTGCATGGACACACACATGTGCATGGACACACACACATGTGCATGAACACACACATGTGCATGGACACACACATGTGCATGAACACACACATGTGCATGGACACACACATGTGCATGGACACACACATGTGCATGGACACACACATGTGCATGGACACACACATGTGCATGGACACACACATGTGCATGGACACACACATATGCATGGACACACACATGTGCAGGCTGACCATGATACGAGACAAGTGACTTTTATGACCAACTTCTCACAGTCCTTGAAGATGAGTGGATCGACCTCTCAGAGCAAACTGCACGTCCCACATCAGATCTGTAGAACATGTGATGTGGGATGGATTGTCTCAGTAAAGAAGTGCTCACAGAAACAGATTTAGACAGATTAGTGAACAGCATCTCTTATATCCTTTTCAAGCCTAACCCTAACCCTATTCTGCTGTCATGTGCACAACACTGACATTTCCCCACAGAGGGACAAATAAAAGATGATCTTGTGTTTTCTTAGAAAAGGTAAAAACAGAGTTTGGTCTTGTTTGATGAAAAAACAAAGCAGTGTTTATGTTTCTGTTCAGTGTGTGTAAAGTTGGACTGTGCGCCTGGTACTTACAGTTAATCCTCATTATATTTACCTTGACGGCTGTGGTGGCGACACTGAAGAGCAGAGTGATGAGGAAGAGGAGGATGAAGGCCATGGCTGTTTTCTGCATACTGTCCTCCTCCTGCAGCTGCTCAGGGTTCCATCTGTGATACATTTCTATCATGTCCACTACGTAGTCTGGGTCTGGGGACAAACGTGAAATTCATTCTTTTTTTAATACATAAACACATATACATTTGCAAAATTCAAGCAAAATGGGAAAATGACATATTTAATAAATAACTGCAGTGAATAAACCCCATGATGCAACACTGACATTTACCAAATGTGAAACAAATACAGGATTTATTAAATGAAATCAAATCAAATTAAAATTCATCTTGGAGGCCGAGTGTGAACATCCTTATTCCCAAAGCCAATTTATTCCCAAAGTATCTGTCCGAGCTGCAACTTTTATAAATCATAACTCAACCTTTTTCACAAGTTTAATTTGAGAACTATGGACCCTGTTGACACGAAGACACAGTGGTATTTATCTCATATACTGTAAGTGTTTATGGTTTATTAGATTCACATTCAGTTAGCCAAACCCTCCATTATCACCAAGTCATGAGTTCATAAAGTTCTTTTAGTTTAAAAAAGAAAGAAAAAGAATATTGTAACTTTACTTTATTCCAGATATATTTTATTATATTTTTCCTACAATTCTAATATTCATTTTCTAATATTGAATTATTCTATGGACATGATAGAAATGTATCACAGATGGAACCCTGAGCAGCTGCAGGAGGAGGACAGTATGCAGAAAACAGCCATGGCCTTCATCCTCCTCTTCCTCATCACTCTGCTCTTCAGTGTCGCCACCCCGGACAGCCGTCAAGGTAAATATAATGTACCTTGATAATCTATAATAATAATGAGGATTAATATTAACTGTAAGTACCAGGCGCACAGTCCAACTTTACACACACTGAACAGAAACATAAACACTGCTTTGTTTTTTCATCAAACAAGACCAAACTCTGTTTTTACCTTTTCTAAGAAAACACAAGATCATCTTTTATTTGTCCCTCTGTGGGGAAATGTCAGTGTTGTGCACATGACAGCAGAATAGGGTTAGGGTTAGGCTTGAAAAGGATATAAGAGATGCTGTTCACTAATCTGTCTAAATCTGTTTCTGTGAGCACTTCTTTACTGAGACAATCCATCCCACATCACATGTTCTACAGATCTGATGTGGGACGTGCAGTTTGCTCTGAGAGGTCGATCCACTCATCTTCAAGGACTGTGAGAAGTTGGTCATAAAAGTCACTTGTCTCGTATCATGGTCAGCCTGCACATGTGTGTGTCCATGCACATGTGTGTGTCCATGCACATGTGTGTGTCCATGCACATGTGTGTGTGTCATGCACATGTGTGTGTCCATGCACATGTGTGTGTTCATGCACATGTGTGTGTTCATGCACATGTGTGTGTCCATGCACATGTGTGTGTCCATGCACATGTGTGTGTTCATGCATGCACATGTGTGTGTCCATGCACATGTGTGTGTTCATGCACATGTGTGTGTCCATGCATGTGTGTGTGTTCATGCACATGTGTGTGTTCATGCACGTGTGTGTGTTCATGCACATGTGTGTGTTCATGCACATGTGTGTGTTCATGCACATGTGTGTGTCCATGCACATGTGTGTGTCCATGCACATGTGTGTGTTCATGCACATGTGTGTGTTCATGCACATGTGTGTGTTCATGCACACGTGTGTGTTCATGCACATGTATGTGTTCATGCACATGTGTGTGGTCAGGAACACGTGTGTGTTCATGCACATGTGTGTGTTCTTGCACATGTATGTGTTCATGCACATGTGTGTGTTCTTGCACATGTGTGTGTTTACGCACATGTGTGTGTCCATGCACATGTGTGTGTTCATGCACATGTGTGTGTTCATGCACATGTGTGTGTTCATGCACATGTGTGTGTGCATCTGTGAGCTGGGATGGATTGTCTCTGTAAAAGTGAAGTGCTCACTGAAACAGATCTGTGAACTATATCTGACAGATTCTTCCTCAGTGTAGTTTGTAACTTTGGTTATTGTTCTGTGAACAATCTTTCATCAGTAGCATTTTGCTGCCGTTCTAACAGAGTCATTTATTTGTTTGTTGCTGTGGAGCAGCTGCATTATATTTATTAGATTTCATTCAGAGCAGTTTTCTATTTTAAAAATGTGACTATTTAATGAAAGTACATTCTTAGCTAAACTGAAATGAGCGAAACCTTGAATTTAGAGTGATTTATGTCATCTAAAGACAATAACTTCATACATTTGTTTAAAAAAGAATGCAAGAAAATGCTTGAAAAACCCAGGATAGCCTTGTGTATCTGTTCTATTATTGTTGCATTATTTTTCATTGTAAACACAGCACTAACATAATTGTTGTATTTTTTTGTCTTTCAGACCAAATGAGGCGAAAACACTTGTGACAAAAAAACAAAATGTTTCTAAATATATTATGTTATGTTTGTCACCTGTCATTTGTCCTATGTGCCTACACAAGTATTATATTGATGTGTCTTTTGGAATAAACTGAAGGTAAAAATCTATTCATTTAGTTTGACAATGTTCCCTCTGCATGCACTGTGTTGCACCAGGCCGTAAAAAACTAAAAATGTGGTAAATGTAAGTAAAGTCACAGTGAAATGTATTTTATTCTCCTCAGAGACAGAGGTAAATAAGGCCTTCCTGTAACAACGGCCTTGAGCACCTGCCGCCCGTCACGCTGCGTGGCTCTCTGGCTCTTTCACTTCTCTGTCCTGGTTCTTCTCTGAGTTTTGGGGGTTTTTCCATCTTGCTTCAGTTGCTGCTTTCGGTCGGTGTGTGAGCCGTCTGCTCCTGTCTCGCTCTCAAACATCTGCACAGTAAAGCATTATACAGTGGGATTCAAAAGTTTGGGCACCCCTATACATTTTCATACATTCATATATATTTGAAAGACTGTTATTGAAGCATTTACAGCTTGATAAGAAACATAGCAGCTACTTATTTTGTATATTTTGTGTGCTCCCTGTGTGTTCTTACTACTGTCCTGTCTGTGCGCTGCAACATTGAAATTTCCCCACCGTGGGACGAATAAAGGATCTCTTATCTTGTCTCAGAATTTTTCTTTATAAATCATTGGTTTCTTGGATAAGACATTTCAGTTAATTATATCAAACAGGATAATTCTCCCTCTGGACCACGACGAGCTTCTCGAGCCACTCAAAAGTGTCGATGGTGAGTTTGTGTTCTACAGTTGCTTTGTCTTTGAGTCCAAAAAAGCACTGTATGAAAGTATGATGAATGAGTATTAATATCATTTGTATGAACAATGATTGAGTTTGCTTTGTAAAAATATCTCACTCCATATAACTTACATCACAAAAGATTATCAGGCCACAAAGTCTATTAAGGTTAGAGTAGAGCCGTTTAATAAAAACATTTATAAAGAACATCCTGAGCAAAAACTGGTCCAATCAAGCAGGTTAACAGGTTGAAAGAAACTCTTGAAACAAATTGAAAGAAACTCTTGAAAGTTTTGTTCTGCTTTAATTCTTTAAACTAACAATGATGCCCACAACTGTATGGAGAGTGTTCTAAAGAAATAATATTATGCATTATTCTTGGACTTTAACTTTTCATTTTACGGTTAAAAATGTGGAATAATTCTACATTAAGTATAAAGTATATGGTGCAACAAGTATGAAGGATTGTTAAAAATGCTTTCTGCCTTTAACTCCCTATGCTACTACAAGAGGAAGAAGACAACATTGTTTTATTGTTATTATTATTATTATTACTGGCTGCAAACACAGACATGGGAAATAGTTTTATAGACATTTATGCACATTTATGGTCATCCCACTCCTATGGACCAATGGCTCCTATGTCTTTGTTATTATTGGATTTCCTGTGTTCCAACTGTTCTCTGATCTGTCGTTGGCGAATCAACCACTTTGGGCTTTTATATTTATTTTACACACAGCTCAAAGAGAGAATGAAAGAGTGAGGTCAAAGACAGTCTGCTCCTGCTGCAGCCACACCTCCAGGTCATACTGCAAACTGTATGTAGTCTTTACCCAGAGCGTCCACTAGATGGAGACAAAACTATCCATGAGGGACGTTCAGCCTAATGTCTCTGTATTGTCTCCTACAGGGTGTAGTGTAATAGTTGTGTATAGTCTAATAGTTGTGTATAGTGTAAAAGTATCAGCGAGTTTGTTTGCGACACCACCAAAGAATGTTCCAGAACTAGAGTTACCTTGAAACGGGACCTACTCAAAAGCTGATCTGGAAACATGTGTTATTTCCAACATAAAAAATGGCCGCGGGGGCTGGAAAATGTGAAAAAACGCATCTGCGCATGCGTCAGCCGGCGGGAGCTCCATTTATTTAAACGACTGACTTCACAGCGAGTAAACTAGAATGGTCCAAAAAAATTCACTCCCCTCAGCATTGACACACATGTGGAACGGAGCTTTGGGCCAAGAGCCAACTTTTGGACCATCGTGTAAAGACGTTTTCCAGAGGTGAGAAGATGCTATATGTTAGCATTCCAGGTCCACCCTCATCGGCCCGTGGTGGTGTTGCAAGCATGTCAGCGCACGTCATTTTGGCCACTTTTGAGCCGGGACTTTTGTATCCTTTTGAGCTTTTAACCAAGTCACAACATTGTTCCCTCATTAAAAACAGACCTGGGGTTGTTTTTAGATCCATCCACACTAATATCAGGAACTTCTGGCACAAATCCACCCTTTCTGCCTAAAGGCTCCTGTCTCAGTCCTGTAATAGAATGATGTCATAGATGTTAGATACTTTGTTTATCCCCATAGGACACATTTTAGGGTCCAGAAGCCTGAAAGTACAACAGCACTTTAGGTCACAGCATCAGAGGCGGTGAAGCTGCTGCCTTTTCTCTGGATGATGTCTGCAGAGTCGTTCGGCCCATTCTGTCTTCTTGTTCGGAGTGAAATTCTGAATGATTTATTAGCATTTTCCAACAACAAGAAATATATTCCTCCAGTGGATTTATGCTTGATTTGCTTGGTTCGGACAGTGCATCACCTCTGCACTGGATCAGTGTGAAACTGTTAATTCTGAATTTCAGTCAAATTCAGAGCAACTTAGAACTTGCTGCCATTTCCAGTTACTGGCCAGGTGCTAAAAGTACATTGTTTTCCGTCGCCGTCTCGACACTTTGTGCTTCGAATCAGGAGCAGGGTCGTTTTTGCGCATTGCTTTGCAGCGTCTCTTTCTGAACAAGGCCTAAAGTCTGATTCTGATCATGTCGATGATTTTGGCTTGAATGGGCTTTTAAACAATATTTCACCAGCTCATAAGTAGAAGAAGAAGAAGGAGTATTTTCAGTTTCATATTTGTGGTTTGAGAAATGTTCATCTTCTTGATGAGGAAGCTGATGGTCGGCTCCCACTTGAGGTCCTGGGTGATGGTGGTGCCCAGGAAACGGAAGGACTCCACCGAGGTGATGGGGGAGTCCATCAGGGAGGGCGGGGGCAGGAGGACTGGGATTTTCCTGAAGTCCACAATCCTCTCCACTGTCTTCTGGGCGTTCAGCTCCAGGTTGTTACCACTGCACCAGGACACCAGCCGGTCCACCTCCCTCCTTTATAGGCTGTGAGATTTCATAACACTTTGAAGCAACTGTGGTTAAAATTCAAACTGGTCATTCTAACATTTGCAGGAGCCAGTACTATTCAGTTGTTTTGTCTATCTGAAGGCCAAGCTACAGGGCACCGTGGCAGCTGCTGATTGGAGGACTGCATTCCTCCATGCTGTATATTACCACTTATCTTACATCCTTGTTCGTGCTCGTGTTCATGCTC